TCGGTTGATACCTCGTCTCGGGTAGAAACGGAATGTTGAATTTTCCCACAATCCGATGGGTTGATATGGGTTGAGCCGTCATCCGTCAGCTTAGCTACGAGAACATGTCGCATTTAAGATAGGATTTGGAGAGAATTCAATTTGGTGGGATTCGTGCGAGATTTGCGAGTGGATCTTCGATGTTCTGCGGCCGTGCGACTGTGATACACGTCGTTTATGTTGACGCAGTCCACGAAACGTCTTCCCTCGTGTCGGATGAAAACGAGCTGAGCTTCCGTCCGTCATGCCACACGAAGAACATCATCACAGTTGGGACTCATTCTTGCCAAAGCTTGCGGCTAACACAGTCAAGCTGACTGGCTATATACATTCATAGAGAGTGTGCATATATATAAATATGTGTGTGTGTAAAGTCTGTACATAATACAGACCACAATATAGAGAAATTGAAAAAGACATGCGGGACTCGAACCCAGGTTCTGGTGGTGTGGCGCATAGTTTCGACATGAATGAGATTAGCTTTTGTGCGGACAGGGCTATGTGAAATTGAATTCGTGTGATTGTGGAACAATTCAACTATCGCTCTTTCCTCTCATCGCAACTGTCATTATTGGTTGGCTCGAAGTTGGTCTTGACAAAGCTGCTCTGCTCTGATGATGATGTTGATCGCAGGACGGAGGATAGTTGAATACTTCTTCACCGCCAGCCAGAATGTTCTAGAAAAGCCGACCGACCGACACGAATGCGTAGTCGTCTTCTGGTGGTAGTGGGCTCAACATTTACATGCCAAAAGGTCCCTCGAAACGGGAATTTTATTCACATAAACTGACCTCACTTACCCAAGACTTTATTGGTGCAATTTTTCATAAAGTACAGTTTCTCTTGACGACAGGACGGTTAAATGAGGCCATTTTTGGGCAGAATTAAAAGGTCTTCACTCCGACACAATCCTCCTTTACGAAGCGTCTGCTGGTAACTCTTCACACGAACACAAAAGTTTGTAAAAGTGCAGAATTTGCCCTATTTCCTCGAAGGCGATGCAGGACTGGTAGTTGAATTTTCCCACAATCTGATGGGTAGACGTGACGTTTCCAGTCAATTTCACATATCCTTGCTTTCCCATCTAGGCTTAGGTGGACGGCAGTTTCGACCCCACGTCGACAAGGCAACCAGTCTGCTGTTGCCACGTTGCCACGAATGCCCTTGGGGTACCGGGCAGATGTGAATTTTAAAGGGAGGCCAAGCATTTTCCCATATTTTTACATTTTTATTCAATATCACATCGCCTTGCTTCACCAATGCTATTCTCATCCCGGCCTGAGCGAACTAGAGATTTTTTCGCAAGCAAGACTATGTGGAAATATAAGGTCTGCTCACATGACTTGAACGAAATTGGGTGAACACATATCATATTATAACAATTTACTTTCCGAGTCAATGTGTGTGCGTATGTAT